ATTCTAGTAGAAAATTGCATGTCATAAATCAAAAGAGGCATCTTGGTTTTGAATAATCACTTAAGTATTACTTTCAGGATCCTCATTTTAGTCTGTTTGTTTCTATATTTGTAATCCAGTGCAGAATGTTTCAAAACATTTAGCAAATATTTGCAGTTAGATGTTCCTTTTTAATACATAAATACTTGAGGTACTGTACAAGAATTCAACAAGATTGTATTGACATTGAACCATTGGGAATTTTTTTTCATTATTCATTGATGGGATGAGGGCATTGCTGGCTAGGCAGTATTTATTGCCCAGAGGGCAATTAAGAGTCAACTACATTGCCATGGGTCTGGAGTCACATGTGGGCCAGACCAGGTAAGGACAGCAGTTTCCTTCCCTGAAGGACATTAGTGAACCAGATGGGTTTTTCTGACAATCAACAATAGATTCACAGTCATCATTAGATTCTTAATTCCAGATATCTGTTGAATCCAAATTCCACTATCTGCCTTGGCAAAGGGAAGCTAAACGTCTAGTGGGCAAACAGGTAGCTTGTGATTATGGATTTTTCCGTCACTTTAAACAAGTGTTTGGCAAGCATATAAGTTGCTTATTCTCTAAGTTGAGGCCATCTCACTTGGGATGTTAAGTCTTGATTTATTGAGCCAATTGCAAATATTACACATGATGTCACTGTTGGAGGGTTGAATGACAACACTGGCCTTCGTTGCATGTTCCTTGTCTTACAGTGACTGTTCTCCTCGACGTTGAGATTACTTGATGACAAAGAAGTCTCCATTTGAACCTGTCCATGTCTTGTATTTTCCCAAGTAATGAGATTGAGAAAGAGAGAAGTATCGGGAGGAAATTCCACTGCATTGAGTCAAAACAGCAGATAATGTAATTGGTAAGGTTCTTGAGTAGATTTGTAGCTTGGATTGTGGATGCTGTGGTTGGTTTGCTCGCCAAGCTGGTTCGTTAGTTCGCAGATGTTTCATTACCCTGCAGGGTAACATCACAGTGCAGCCTCCGATGAAGCGCCATTGTGTTTTCCCACCTGGTATTTAAACTCTGGGGTCCATTAGAGTTGATTACCTCATTTCTGGTTTTTCTTTGCAGTGGTGTACAATTGGTCTAATTCTACGTGTTGATTGATGGTCTTCTCGGGAACCAGGCCTATAGAAATTCTTGTGCTTGTCTCTGTTTGGCCAGACCTAGGATCCTGATTTTTGTCCCAATCAAACTGGTGGTTCTCCTTATCCATGTGAATAAAGTGTGGGTATTGGTTGTGTTTTTTGTTGCTAGTTGGTGTTCGTGTATTTCTTTGGCCAGTTTCCTTCCTGTCTGTCCAATGTAATGTTGGTCACAGTCCTTGCATGGATTCCATGCAGGGTAATGAAACACCTGCAAACTACCGAACCAGCTCGGCGAGTGAACCAACCACAGAATATAGTTGCTAATTTTGGGGCAGAAGGGGTGGGGTACACAAAGGTCTTGAGGCTATAGTGATTTGAAAAGTGGGAAAGCATGGCCAAGGAGGGATTTTAGTATGAGGTTGAGAATTTTAGAATCAAGCATAGCTGGACCAGGAATTAGGGTAGACGAGTGAGAGCAAGCAGGCCTTTGTGCAACTTAAAGTATATCAATAGCTCACAGTTCCAGAACCCTGTACAGGCCACTAATACCTTCTTCCCAAAATCCACAGACAGGACTGCCTGGGCAGACCCATTGTTTCTGCCTTTTCCTGCTCAACGAAACTTATTTATTCCTACCTTGACTTGATTTTTTTTCTCCCTTTGTCCAGATGCTCCCCACTTACATGTGTGATTTTTCTGACGTTTATCGAAGTTTCAAAATTACCAATTCACGAATACCAGTGCTTCCTCCATGGAACTGCAGTCCATTTACACATCCATCACCCAGCCGGATGGCCTCAGTGCTCTCCAATTCTTCCTAGAAAGAAGGCTTGAACTGTCCCCATCCACCAACATCACCTTCTGTCTGACCAGTCTTGTCTTCACTTTGATAAGTTCTCCTTTAAGGCTTCTCACTTTCTTAGATCAAAGGCATGGCCATGAGTACCTGCATGGGCCCAGTTATACCTGTCTCTTTGTGGACTATGTGGAACATTCCTTATTCCAGCCCTACTCGGGGAGGATCCCACCTACAATGTTTTTCTCTGGTACATTGATATCATCAATGATGCTGCTTCCCTCTCTTGTTCAGGATTGGAAAAAAATTATCAATTTTGCTTCCAATTTCCTAACTATTCTTGCCTTCACCTGGTCCATCATCCTCTTCATCTATTTCCATTTCTGGGGACAGGTTGGCCACCAATATCCATTACAAACCCACCGACTCCCACGGTTACCTGGACTATACATCCTCACACCCTGCTTCCTTTAAGGACTCCATTCTCATTCTCTCACTTTCTCCATCTTCATTGCATCTGTTGTAATAATGCCACCTTGCTCAGGGTTACCCTCCGAACTGTCCACCTTTTCCCTCAAATGTGAATTCCCTGCTACCAGAGTTGACAGAACCCTTGACATGTCTGACCCATCTCCTGCCTCAGGCACTCACTCCTCCCTTTTCCTCCCACAACAACAATAGGGTCCCCGGTCCTCACCATCCCATCAGCCTGGACTCTAAAGGGTCATAAGCTGCCATTTCTGTCACCTCCAGCAGGATGCCACGACTAGATCCACCTTTTTCTTCCTTTTGTCAGCATTCTGCAGGGACTGTATCCTCTGGGACATGTTGGTCCACTCCTCCATCCAAACACTTCCCCACACACCTCTGGCACTTTCCCATACAATCGCTGAAGGTATAACACCTGGCCATTTACATCCTCCCTCTTCACTATCAGTACACCTTCGGGTGAAGAAGCAGTTTACTTGCACTTCATTCAATCTAGTCCACTGTATTTGCTAAACAAAGAAATGAAGAACTACAGATGCTGGAAATCAGAAACACAATCAGAAATTGCTGGAAAAACTCAGTAACATCTGTGGAGAGAAATCAAAGTTAACATTTTGGGTCTGGTGACCCTTCTGAAGAAGCGTTAACTCTGCTTTCTCTTCACAGATGCTACTAGACCTACTGAGTTTTTCCAGCAATTTCTGATTTTGCAGTTCTGTGTGGTCTCTGTGTGGGGGAGATGAAACACAGACTGGGTGACTGTTTTGCAGAGCACCAACATTGAACCTGTAAAAATGACCTGGTGCTCCCAGTGACCTGTCACTTCAATGCACCACTGTGTTCCCATGCCAGCATTTCTGTTACACCTGCTGCAGTGTTCCAGCAAGTCTCAACACAAGCTTGAAGAATAGCATCTCGTTTTTTGCTTGGAGACCATATAGACTCTGAGACTCTGCATTGAGCTCAATAACTTTACAGTCGGATTCCAGTCCTCCGTATTTCTTACTCACCTCCACACCCTGGTCCTGTCATGACATGGGTTGCTTTCAGTATGTCCTACCCATTCCACCCTCCTCTCTGCTCTCATTATCACATCTTCAGCCTCTCTTCTGTCCTGGCCTACTATCAATAAACCCCTCATCTGTCTACCCCTTTCGTGTCTTGCTCTCTCTGGGCTCTGTCTTCATCTGCCTGCTCATCGCCGCCGCCGCCACCACCACCACCACCACCTCTCTCCCCCACCCCCTCCCACGGTTAACTCTGTTTTCTCCAAACAGATCCTTCCAGACCTGGTGAGTTTTGCCAGAAATTTCTGTAATTGTTTCAGATCTCTAGCATCTGCCATTCTTTGTTTTGTTTTAGAAAATAAGTTTTGGAGGAGCTCAGAAAGGTGGAGAATTGAACAGATCATTCAGCAAAGTGTTGGAATAGATTAGTTTGCAAATAGTGGAAAATTGATAGAGAATTTCAGTCACAGTCTGAGGCAAGTGTATCTTCTATTTTAAATGCGTGGAAAATTATATTTTAAATTCAAGATTAGAAAATATCTTGGAAATGGTGAAAATGATTTGGAATAAGCTGCTTGATTGTGTAATGGGGAGATAAATACTTAAGTAATGTTCAATACAATGAGTGAGTATGCTTTGAGATATGCTTTTCTGGACTGTATAGCCTTCTTTTCTGGCCCTGTAGGACGTTTAGGAGATGAGGAGAAATTTCTTTGCCCAGAGAGTGGTGAGCCTGTGGAATTCTCTGTCACAAAAAGCAGGTTAGGCCAAAACGTTGAATGTTTTCCAAGAAGCAATTAGATATAGTTCTTGGGGGTTGGTATCTGTGTTTATTGATACCTGGTGCCCTGTACATCCCCAATCTAAATTGCAGCAATGGTGGCCTTGCCTTCAGCTGCCCATGCCCTTAGCTCTCGAATACTTTTCCAAAACCTCAATTCTCTTTGTTTACATCAAATCTTAAACATCCTTTTACCAAACCTTTGGACATTTATCCTAATGTTGCTGTATTTGTGTCTCTTCCAGCAGTTTTCTTTATTGCGCTTTTGTAAAGTGCCTTGAATGTTTTATTATGTTAATATTGTCACTAATAAGTCCAGTATTTTGTCTACCCCTAATTGTTCTTGAAGGTAGTGGTCAATGAGGCTGTTACAGTGTCGTTGCCCTTGCATTCACAGCAGGTTGGACTTTCAGGATTTTGTTGCTGAGATTGTCTAGCCTTTCATGGCTGAGAAACATTGCAACAGTATTAATGCAATAATATTCAATCTTTAACATAGTAACAAATTCTCAAGTGCTTCACTGAACTGTAATCAAAAAGTGAATACTTGGCTAAAGGAGGCAAGAGTTCTGGAGATGACAGTGAACTTATTCAAAGACCTGAGTTTTATAGAGGATCAAGAGAGACAAGGGAGGTAATACGTGGGTTTAAGTAGAGAATCCCAGAGTGAGGGACTTGAGTGGCTCAGTCTGCTAAGGTTAGAGATGCGCAAGCAATCAAAGAAGCAGAGTACCTGAAGTGGGTGGGATTGGGAAGGTGAATGAATAAGGAAGTTAGAGTTGGGTAATAAATGAGTTGATTGAGAGCATATTGTGGCACAAGAAATGTTGTGAGCAGCCATGCTTTGTCCGTGGAGAAGAGATGGTGGGAGGCTGACTAGAATGTTATCCCATACCACGTCACACTTGACATTATCTGCTGTTGACCAACCTTAACTCTTCATTGTTTTGATTTAACATCTTCAACTTAATTTTTAAATCCCTCATGGCTTTTCCCCCCTCTAACTCTGTGCTTCTTCTAGCCTTGTAAATATTCTCCTCACCGTCACCCCTCCCCCTGCCTAAATCTTGTTACCTCTTCAGAACTGTTTAACGATGCTCTTGGTAACCCTTTCTAATATCTTTCTTTGATTTGGAATCAGTTTTGTATTTTCTGATTTGTATTCCAACGCCTTAGGACAATTTTTTGTGAGAATGCAAAATGATTTACAAAACAAAGTTATTTGCAGCATTTTATTATCTGAGATGTGCAGTGAAGTAGCTTATATACTTAAGTCTTAACAGTCAATGTTGTGTAAAAGTCATATTTTGGTTAAAAATCCTAACTCTCTGTCTGCATACCACCTGCTAGCAACTTTCCTGTCTGATTCTATCACTCACCATTTTGTCTCCTAAACTCCTGCTATAAGCGAGAAGAAGAAAGTGAGAAAAAAGAGCGTGAATGGGAGTGAAATGGCACTGATCCAGTCATAGTCTTCACTAGCCTCATGAATTGACAGTAAATTACAACTCTGAACACCAAGTAGATTATCGTATCCAAAAAAGTATGAATTTCAACACCTCCCAAATATTATTGCAGCTAAGTTTTTACTGTCAATATTTTTGGTCTCAAAAACCTAACTTTTAGGTTAGTATACAGAGTACATGTCTTTATAAAAATGAATTACTGTTCTCCTATTTATAATCCATTAATCTATAA